TTTCTCCCGCACGCAGAACCGCTGGTAGTTTTGAACTGCTGACTCTGAAGTTAGCAGCCCAACTCTTAACTGCACCAGAGCTCCTTGTTCATATGTATGTTGTTGTTGTTGTTAAGTACCGTGGAGTTGGTTCTGACTCATAGTGACCCTACACAGGGTTTCCAAGGCTGTAAATCTTTACAGGAGCAGAAAGCCTCATCTTTCTCCCACATAATAGCTGGTAGTTTTGAACTGTCAACCTTGAGGTTAGCAGCCCGAATCATAACCACTACGCTACCAGAACTTCTTTGTTCATATATATAGTCACTTTTTTAAAAAGGTATTTGCAATGGATAAGTCCTTGGTCTTGAAATTTCTATCATGTGATCTCTAGTATCATTCCGAGTCCCATGGCCATATTTCCCAACTAATGATCCTTATTCTTTGCTTCCAACTTTCACATTCCAATCAGCAGTAATTGCCAATGCATCCTGATTTTATGTTTGATCAGTTTAAGACTGAAGAAGTTGGTTGTTGTTGAGTGCTATCAGATTAGTTCGGACTCATAGTTACTCATAGGGTTTCTGAGGAACGACTGGTGAATTTGAACCACCGACCTTGTGGTTCAAATGGCCTTGCAGTCCAAATGGCCTTGCAGTCTAGTGCTTATCCTACAGCGCAACACCAGGACTCCAAAGAAATTGGTAGAATTCTTCAGTTTCATTAGCAGTTGCTTTAGTGATTGGTAATCAGGATTATCCCTTCAGAATCCCATACAAACAATCGCCATAACCTTCTAAGCTGACTGCTCTCTTTTGAATTTAACTGGACCAGGTGATCATCTCAGAAACCACTGTTTTGAGTGGACCTTTTGTTTTTTTGAAGGAGTGTTAACAAGACTAAGAGAAGTGAGTTACTATGAAACTTGTCTGCCGTCAACCACTGATCAAAGAAACATGCTTAAACATGTTTTGTTTGGAATAAACCAGTATAAACTGGAGCCCTAAGTAGCAATACTTGTTTACTTACCCTTGAATTGTAAATTTCTACATGCTTGCACATACTCAGGTAATTTGTCTTTAAGTTAGTATCTCTTGATCTAAATTATTTTACATGCATGACAAAATCTTAACCGATTTATAGCATTGAAGAGAACTTTTTAGGTAACCTGCAAATCTTGAGATATAGGTACAAATAAATGAAGGGGAACTAAGAAGATTTCATGTTAATTTTCACACCAAATCACTTTCACACAAGTCCCTAAACCCATCTGTGTCTTTTTTCCCTCTCAAGTGAAGATGATGGGCTACGATGAGAATTAATTGAGTGTCTCTCCCTGTAAAATCTTAGCACAGTGCATGGAATTTGAGAATTGTTATAAAATTGGTGGTGGTGGCCAGAGTAGAAAGAACAATTACAGCACACTTATAGCCACAGCACAAAGAACACATGAAAATCAGATCAAATAGAGCAATTAAAATTTTAATCTAGGCTGCCTAAATTTTATTTAAATACAGTTTTTTCTATCAGCCTTATTGTTGGTAGTGGTAGAGACCATGAAGTTTATTTTGATTCATGGCAATCCCATGTGACTGCGTAGAATTGTCCCCCATAGGATTTTCTAGGTGTTACTTTGGGTGGAGTCCTGGTGTGGTGCTGTGGGTTAATGCACCAGACTGCAAAGCCATTTGAACTGCAAGGTCGGTGGTTCAAGCTCACCAGCTGCTCCTCGGAAACCCTATACAGGGTCGCCATGGGTCAGAAATGACTCGACGGCACTTAACAACAACAACTGTGGGATAAGCATAGGACTACTAACCACAAGCTTGACAGTTTAAACCAACTAGTGGCTCCAGGGGAGGCAGAAGAGACTGTCTGTTTCAGTAAAAACCTATAGTCTTGGAAACACCATATAGGGTTGCTACGCATCAGAATTAGGGTTGAAGAGTAAGAAGAACCCCAATGAGATGAAATGACACAATGGCAGCAACAAAGGACTCAGGTGTAGCAACAATTGTGAGCTGGCGTGGGGCCAGGCAGCATTGTGTTCTGTTGTGCTTAGGGCAGCAATGAGTTGGTACTGACTAGATGGCAGCTAACAACAACAACAACAATGCATCAGCATTGACTCAATGGCAGTGAGTCTGGTTTGGCTTGATAATCTTTTCAGAAGCAGACTGCCAGGTTCTTCTCCCACATGGAGCACCTGGGGGGTTCAAATCCAACCTTTCAGTCAGCAGTAGAGCACTTCCTTCCCTATTGTGCCAGCTGGGCTCTTTGTACCAGCCTCCCTATTTACCAGTTCACATTTCCCCTGACCTTGTCTCATCACACAGACATACCAGATGAGAGAAAGAACAAACACTTCTTTAAAGTAATAACTAGAAGTGCAGTTGCTCCATACAATAAGCACTGGACTGTGAATCCCAAAGTCCACGGTTCAAGCCTGCCAGCCACTCCATGGTAGAAAGATGAGGCTTCCAGCTCTCACGAAGATTTAAAGCCTCAGAAACCCTACACAGGGTCACTGAGTCAGAACCAACTGGACAGCACTTAACAACAAAAACAACTAGGCACTGCCTGTTAACTGCTGACTTTAGGATCTAACAATGAAAGCTTCAGCATCCTATTAATTAATTTAATTAATTAACCATTAAATGCCTATTTAACAAAACCACCTGCTAAAGAAATTATCGGTTAATTCTGTTGTCCAGAAGAAAGTACAATACAGACATTCTCAGTCGTGGTCACTGATGACCACAGGATCAGACATTCGGCAGCAAAACAGCGACATCAACACTAACGTTTCTTTGATTCTAGCACAAGAGCTATACCTTCTCATATCCCAGCATGCACCGGAGCCTGCTTCTAGCAGCCTAGCACCCCCCCCTCCCACTCACTACCCTAGGAGCAAACACAGAGAACACCCACAGATCCTGCTAAGCCTACCACCAGAGGCTTATTTTATGTTACTCTGAATTAATTACAGGAGTTGTAAAGGCTCTGGTGTGGTTTGAATAATATTATCTGGACCTGACCACTTGCTTTAGAATATATGGCCAACTTTCATCCACTTCCTAATCGTTTTCCTTCCCCTCTCTTCCAGAAATTGTTTATCATGCTTAAGTATGCAAACATCAACAGAGCTTTTTGACTAGTTGCAAACCCCCCATTGATGAATAGTGCGCAATATATTTCTGATCCAATCCCCACTTCTATACATCAGGATGTTCCTGGGAGATTTAGGCCAAGTTGATTTTCCTTTCTTCTGTCCATGTCCTGAGTTTCCTCAGCTGACACCATACATACAATTTCATAACCATAAGTGTATTTTCTCAGCACTTCTCTTGGCTGTATCTATTCCCTTACATATTGATAGCTTGGTTCTGTATATTATCATTGTTTATTTCTTTAGTATAGTTACTATCTACTGCAAAGATGCTGCCAAATGTTTAAAAGCTTTCTTCTTCTTTGAAGATTAAGTCAAAAGAAAAAGTCCAGAGGAACACAAAAATGAAGAGAGAAATACTTCTTTAAAACAAAAGTTGAATGTGGTTTAACTCAGACTGAGTTTTTGAGTTATACCAAAGCCAGCATGCAAAACAACACTGACAGAAACTCAGAAAGCACTTAAATAGCAAGTTAGCAAATCAACACAGCAAAGCAGCCTGTGTCTAGAAGAGGCATTCTGCAATGTGGCCTCCACAGTGATCAACTTGAAAGATAATATATTTGTGTGTTTAACATGTTTGTAATTCTGCTGGACCCTTTATTTTTTTGAAATCCCAACAACCTCTTAACATTGCCTTTCTTTTTTCTTTTCATTTTTATTTAAAGAAGCTTTGGAAGGGTACTTTAAAGAATTGTTTCATTCTTTCCCATATGCTGATGAGAAAGAAGGATGTTCCAGCAGTTACTAAATGATGTAAAGGATTATCCGCTGCTAAGAATCAACATCTTCTAAATCTGTACTATATCAACTTGCATGCAGAGTCAGAAATTGGCACAGGCCTGAGCCGTGTTTTGTTCTGCTGTACACAGGGTCGCTATGAGTTGGAACAAACTCGACGGCACCTAACAACAACAGGAGAAACTGAGTACTTTAAAACTTTTAGTTGAAAATGTATCCTCCTGTCATACTAAGAGGATCTATTAAGCATGGAAGCAAATCTGTGTCCAGTTCTGAAAATCTATAGACAAAGGCATGTTTTATGTTTCTGAAACATTTTGCTGTTGGTGATTTATTTCACTTCCATGTGGCCAGCCATTTGTTTATTCTATCGCATGCCATCTGGTTTTTGGTAGAGCGATTTCAAGTCCTTCTCATTCCCTACCTCATAACCCACAGAAAGCAATTTTTAATAGACATAGATTTAAATCATGTGGATTCACGTGGAGTCGGTAACCCGAGCTGCCTTTCATTTCCATTTGGCAAACACTTTAATGGGATTAGCAAATTGTGTTATTATGAGGTACTTATTGAGACACAACACCTTTTTTTTTTTTTTTTTTTTTTTTTTACAATGACAAAGTAAATTAACAGTTTCATTTGGGGGGTTTAATAGCAGTACAGAAGATTTCACTAACGTTACAGGAAATTGCCCCGATAGACAATAAAGTCCTACTACAAACCCTATCCATATATTTCAATTCTGAGAGTCAATGACTATGTATACCAGGTGAGATGGGAAGGACTTACAGTGGGGAATACACATCAGGCTGCTTCACTTGTAAGGGAAGTGCTATTGTGTAACTATAGACCTGCACACCCTGCCTGGTCCCTACATTTTGGTGGCCTGCTCTAAGTCCTCTAATCACGATCTACGCTTTCTAGATACTGCAAGTGAAGGCAGTCCCTCATACTTTCCCCAAAGAAAAGTTTGTGTCACAAACTCCAGCTCACCAGCATAACTTTATTCTCATTCTAATGCTCACCTGGATTTGCTCTAAAGAAGACTCAACCGTTCATAGAAACAATTTTGTGTTGAAACTTTACAGATGATGTTTAAAGTATTAATTACCATGTTTACAAGAATCCTTGCTGCTTTTGTGGCGAGGAGGGAGCTGATGACAGGACCCAGGAGCTGTCCACAGTTCATGGTTGACATTCAAGGGCCGAGAAACGTCTGTCTTGAGATCTACTTGATTTTCACTAGTCCGTACCAAATCAGAGTTAGATACGTTGTGGGGATGAATAACATCCTGATGGGTATCTGATGGATTTGGTTGGTTTAAAGTGTTAAGTGACATTTGTACTAAAGCTTCATTGATGAAGAAAGAATTTTCATGACAAAAACTCTCAGAGCGATTAAGGTCCATGACCTGCATAAGGAAATTCAGAAAAAGTTTAATAATTTCCCCAGTTACGTTCACAGTTTTCATAAAGCATTTATTTATTCCTGATAGAATTTAACAATCAAAATTTCAATAAGAGTGAGGTCAAGAAGGGAGTTTCCCTTTATTGTGCCTACTGCCTCCTTTTAATTAGTATTTATGCCAAACAGCATTTATGCCTGCAAGATCTTGCGGGGAGGGATGGGGGGAGCTATGTTTTAGGCCATTAAATTTATTCCAGTTTATTTTTGTCAGAGAAGGCAGCACGTTCTCTTTGGCTAAATAAAAGAGGTGAAATCCTAGCCACAGATTCATGAGGAATTTGTAACAAATATAATTTAGCCAACTTGAAAGGAAAATCAAAAGCAATGCAGAACTTATAACTGTCTCAAAGCTTACAACTTTGACCCCACCAATAAAAAGTGTGTGTGCACACAGCAGACAAAGTAAACTCCTGAGAGAAATGGAATTGTCAAGCATGGTTAGAAACGAGGCAGAAGAAATACAGACGCTTCCAAAATCCTACACAGTCATAAATTAGTATAACTTAAGTTGACTGCTATTAGAGAAATCGATTTTGAATGTACTGTATCAAATTTAAGGAGACGTGGTGGTGGTGTAGGCTAAACACCGGACTGCTAACCACAAGGTTGGCAACTCTAACCCAGTGGCAGTTCAAACTTACCAGCCATTGTGCAGAAGGATGGGGTTTTCTGCTCCCATAAAGATTTACAGTCTCAGAAACCCTATACAGGGTCACTGGGAGTCAGAACTGACTCAGTAGCAATGGATTTATATCAAATTTAGAAAAGAGTAAGCTTGGAACAATAGAACAATACTTACTAAAGTCAGTACCGACAACCTGTATAAATAGATAACTGATCTACTAAAAATAATTCTTTATAATAGACCATATAAAGCAAGGCCTTCAACTATAGGAAATCCCTGACTTACAAGATCAACTCAATGCTATGTTTCTCCTCAGGAGAACTGCTATCTCATTGCCTAATGATCCGATAGATACTAAACTTTAAAATTTCCATACATTAATTCAAGACACATATGTATTGTCTCCAAAAGTTCCCAATTTCTACAACTTCCCTACTGAGAAACTGCTGGGAACTCTTATTAGACAAGCACCACAAACACGACTATTTGGTAAAGTGTCCCAGGAACGACAACAGCTCTACTTGTCGTGGAAAAGCTGCCTTAAGAACTTCTTCCACCTGCACGTTACCTCCTTGCTTCCTGGAGTAAACGCTGTGGGGAGGCTGCTCTGGCGACTGTGCTTCCAGCGGTACAGCAGTCTCTGCTGGCTCCGCATCTTCTCCCTCTCCCTCTCCACCATCCGCTGGCCCTCCCTCAGCCGCTCCAGGTTCTGCTGGTACTCCTGGAGCTGATGGGCCAGCTCCCCACGATTCCTCAGCAGCAGCTCCTCCTGCAATTGGCACTCCAGCTCCCGCTCCTGCAGCCAGCTCTCCTTGGCCTCCTGCTCTCGCTGCTGCTGGTCACACCTGCGATGCCAGCGCCGCTGCTCCTGCTGGAACTGATGTTGGAGCTTGTGGATGTTGGCCAGCTCCTCACGCTGTTTCTCCAGGTTGCGGTGCTTCTCCTGGTCCTGAAGTGGGCTGCCTCGGAAAGAATGGCCAGAAGATAGTCTCTCCTGCTGCTGGAGAAGCAGCTTGTGGATCTCAATATGGCTGTCCTGAATGGTCAGGGCGGCCTGTCAAAGCAGAAGACAGGAACAAAGTCAAGGCTTCATATCGTTTAACCTTTGGGCTGGAACGAAGTCTAAACACAAAAGGTTATGACTAAATTGTCTTCTTTTCGTATTTCTGCCTTTTTCCCAAGTTTCCTCCAAAGACAGACTTTGGCACTTCAAATCAGTATGTCCCTTGCCTACTGGCAACCAGTTAAACAAGCAGTTGTCATTGGGTCAACTCCAACTCATGGCAACCTCATAGATGTCACAACAGAACTGTGCTCCATCCAGTTTTCAAGGGCTGGTGATCTTTTTTTCCCCTAGGAGTAGATCACCAAGCATTTCTTCTGAGGTACCTTTGGGGAGATTCAAATTACCAACATTTAACAGCTGTTAACCATATTTGCCTACTGGTCAGGCCTGGGAGTTTATAAAGGAATAAAGCACAAGGTCACATTTCTTTTTTAGAAATGTGATATATTGCTGTGTTTGTTAGATATCATTAAAGCAAGACTCCTGAATTAAAGTTCAGTACATAAATTCTCCAAACTCTGTATTCCTGATCTATGTTTTATACTCTTGCTAAGGTCTCCCTAGTCAGTAATTCATAAGAATTTAAGAATATATATAAACTTGGTAGTTTTTGTTGTTGTTAAGTGCCATCAAGTCAGTCCCAACCCATAGCAACCCTGTATAGGGTTTCCAAGGAGCAGCTGGTGAGCTTGAACAGACAACCTTCCAGTTCAAGTGACTTTGCAATCCAGTACATTAACCCACAGCGCCATACCAGGATTCCTTATGAGGGATATTGGTCCATAATTTTATTTCTTAGTGATATTTTTTTACTGGTTTTGGTATTGGAGTTATGCTTGCTTCATAAACTGAATTTGGGCGTTTTCCATCCTCTTCTATATAAACTAGGTAGTAGGTTTATATAAATCTGTTTAATAGGCAAATTTGCTATAAAAGACCTCTTTTAAAGTATTAAAAATATGTCCGTTTAAGGTGCACCTGGTCCAAGCCATAGTATTTTCAGTGACTTCATATGAATGTGATAGTTGGGCAATGAATAAGGAAGACCAGAGAACGGATACCTTTCAATCATGGTATTGGTGAAGAATACTGAATTAACCATGGGCTGCCAGAAAAACAAATAAATCTGTCTTGGAAGAAATAAAGCCAGATGCTCTTTGGAAGTGAGGATGCCTAGATTTTTGTCGCAAGTACTTTGGACATGTTATCAAGAGGGACTAGTCCCTGGAGAGGAGTCCTAGTGTGGCATTGTGGGTTAATATGCTGGACTGCAAGGTCAGTTTGAACCACAAAATAAGTGGTTCAACCTCACCAGCTGCTCCTTGGAAATCCTGTGCAGGGTTGCTATAAGTCAGAACTGACTCGACAGCACTTAACAACAACAACAAGTTCCTGCTAAAGTAGAGGATCTATGAACTAGAAGAAGACTCTCAACAAGATAGTTTGACACAGCGGGTAAAGCACTGGGCTCAAACATCGCAATGGCTGAAAGGGTGGCCCAGGACCACGCAGTGCTTTGTTCTGTTGTACACAGGTTTGATATGAGTCAGAACTGACTCAATGACACACAACAACAACAACAGTAGTATGTTTTATTTGAGTCCCAAACCAGAAATTACTTGAGCAACATTGTTTTCATATAGAAGTTAAAAATACAAATCAACCATTTGGAGACTTGTGATAAGTAGTAGCTTTGTAAGACCATGCTTAAGAATAGCAGTTAATGGGATTTTTAAGTGAAGGTCATACATTACGAATGAAGTTGAAATTCATTTGTGTAATAGATTGCTAACAGGAGGCTGGAGTGATTAAGGGAAAATAGATACTTTAAAGTCCAGGGAACATTACCAACCAGATTATAAAAACATTTTGGGTTACAGTGTCTGTCGATGAAAAGTTTGGCAGCATCACAGGAAATAATTGCCAAGATTTGGAAGGATTCCACAAAGCCAGAACTTTCTGTGAATGCCCTTGGAAGCTTTTCATTTTAGAAGTTCTCCATTTAAAGTACAAAAAAGTACTGAAAGGGCAACTTGAAATTGGATGCATACTGGGGATGTGTGTATGTTTTGACTCTCTGTGTGAAATTATTGCTCTCGTAGGGGTGAAGTTACATTTTTCCTTGTTAAAAAAATTTAAAACTGTCCATTTAACAAATGCTCAGAAGAAAGGAATTTGACCATTAGTTCTTTATTAAGAGAATAATTTTCTATACTTTTAAAAGTTAAAGGACTAAGATACGTTTTACATTGGTACTTGCAATAACATGCAAACATGTATTCACTGGGACTTTTGAAATAAATTCCTATTTTTAAGTTGAAAAACAGTATTTCAAATTTGAAATCTCAGCTAACTATTTGATTAAGGGCCTTTGGAAGGTATTATAAAGGGAGCTATGATTAGCATTGAAAATAGGTCCTAATTACTTTGCTCTTTAAATATGAAATAATTAGCACATAATAATAAGCATTCAGGACTTTGCTGACCTGGTTAGAACAAATTGTAGATGGCATATCATCACTTAAGTCTAATAAATACTAACGTGTCATTGGAGTAAAAGAGACAAACAAAAATCCAATGTTTTATATGTCAAAACTATCATGTTGTTGTTGTTGTTAAGTGTCATTGAGTTGGTTCTGACTTGAGTCTGTTCTAACTCATAGCGACCCTGTATAGGGTTTCCAAGGAGCATCTGGTGAGCTTGACCTGCCAACCTTGCCGTTCAAACTGACCTTGCAGTTCAGTGCATTAACTCGCAGCGCCATGCAAGGACCCCATAGGCTGTGATAACTCAGGTGGTGGCTCTGTAGGATAAACACTGGACTAAGTGAACCATAAGGTTGATGGTTTGAGCCCACCAGTCACTCCATGGAAGAAACATGAGACTTTCTGCTCCCACAAAAATTAACAGGCTCAGACACAGGGTTGCTGTGATTTGGAACCAACCCAATAGCACAGAACAACAACAACAAGTATACAATTAAGATAATCAACTGCTAGCATGAAATATGTATTTTTCATGTTGATGTAACATCTGGGATAGGGCTGTTCTCTCTTCTGACACAGAGATGGAATTTGAAGATTGGATTTACATTTTCCCACTTAGAGTTTGCATTTATATTTAGGACAGAGAACAGCAATTTCTTTTCAAGTTCAGGGGAATTCCCAATGCACTCTCTTTTAACTTTTCTTAGCTGGAACAGCTCCGTGTCCTTTCCTTTCTGCCTTGCATACACCTCATGTCTAACTGTGCTCTCATATAGGAATCAAATTTCATTTTCATCTGATTTTTCAGAACTGCTTAAAGACTTCAATCACACATAGGAGAGTCAGCTTCAAAAGAAGAAGACTGTGCCAGGAATAGAACTCTTTCAGAGCTTACACAGCTTAAAAGTTTTGACCAGAGTACGAGAATCCACTATAGAATTCCTTAGTCTTTCTGTTGCTGTAACCAAGTATCTTGAAAAAAAAAAAAAAAAGATCGTTTTGGCCACTGGGCTCTTCTGAACTTTGAATGTCCACAGGGTTACATGCAAGATTTCAAATAAAGAGACTGGAGTACTTTGAGAGTGTTTTATGAAGTACTACAAGACGCTCAATGTTTTCATGTCTCCAAAGTTAATTAGCTCCACAAGAGACACTTAATGGTCCCTACATATCTACAGCAAGAGATAAAGAAGGAAACCAAAGACTCCAAGAAGAAAACTCGTCTGCAGGACTGACAGTGTGCATGAACCACGGCCTCATCTACCCTGAGACCAAACGCACAAGATGGTGCCTGGCTACCATCACTGACCGTTCTGACACAATAGATGGTCCCAGACAGAATGGGGGGAAATGTAAAGCAAAATGCAAATTACTAAAAAGGGCCAAACATTTTAGTAGAGAATTGAGAAACCCCCAAGATTACTGGCTTGGTGTACGCTTTAAACTTGGAACTCAAAGCATTCCCAGAGGTCATCTTTCAGGCAAAAGACAAAGTGGCTCATAAAATAAAAACTATCACCTGGGAGTACCGTGCTTCTCTTCATTATCATCTGAATGAGACCTAATGGTCAACCAAAGATGAGAAGCTAAGGGGATACAAGGAAACTAAATTAAGGGAAACAGAACACCTGATGGAATGGAAATCATAAGAAAGCTGACACATTATGAAAAATGTAATCAATCTAGGTTTGTTGTTGTTGTCGTTGTTAAGTGCTGTCGAGTCGGTTCTGACCCATAGCGACTCTGTATGGGTTTCTGAGGAGCAGCTGGTGAGCCTGAACTGCCGACTTTGCAGTTCAAATGGCTTTGCAGTCTGGCGCATCAACCCACAGTGTCACACAATGAGAACCAAATTTTCCATGAAAACTTTCTGCCAAATCACAATAAAGTATTTTTAAGTAAATTCTACCAAACTCAAATCATTCTCAGCTAGCATTTAAAAGAATGCTTATTTTACATGATAAATTTTTCTAAAAATATCTACCTCAGACCAGCACATCTAATACAAGACGCTAACGCCATTCCCACAAAACCTTCTTGTAATCACCAGTACTACAAATACAATTTCCAAAGCTCTGGTGTGGAGATACAGGATAAGCACTAGGCTGCTAATGACAAGGTCAGCAGTTCAAATCCACCAGCTGCTCCTCAGAAACCCTATGTGGGGTCACTATGAGTTGGAACCTACTCCACAGCCCTTAACAATAACAACAAACCAAAAAGTAAGCCAAGAAAATGAAAATGAAGAATAGACACTATCTCATTATTTTCAAATGTTGACTTTCCAACCTGGAAAATCTCAAAAGATTGACGGAAAATCTTTAAGACAAAAATTCAAGTTCAATGAGTTGACCATCACAAAATACATAAAAGTGAGTACTTTCCCCAGCAACAACAACTGGGGAAACAAAATTTTTAAATATTCCAATCATATTGTTGTTAAGTGCCATCAAGTTGGGTTCTAACCCTAATAACCCAGTATAGGGTTTCCAAGGAGTGGTTGGTGAACTTAAACCGCTGACCTCGCAGTTCAAACTGACTTTGCAGTCCAGCACAATGACCCACAGCGCCACACCAGGACTCCATTCCAACCATAAAAGCAATAAAAAGACAAATGCCTAAAAATAAGCTTAATAAGAAAAATATACCAAACCAATAAAAGATGGTAACGCTTTCCAGTAGAACATAAAATAAGACCAAAATGACACCATGCTCTTGGAAAAGAAGACTTACCATTGCAAAGGTGGCAACCTAATTAAAAAACATAAGGAGGTTTTAATCTAATGGTCTTAGCAGGTGGTGTTGTTAAGTGCTGTAGAGTTGGTTTTAACTCACAGTGTCTGAGGTTTTATCTCTTTTG